TTTTTTTTTCTGGTACTGGGAATCGAACTCACGACCTCACATTTGCCAGGCAGGTGCTGTGCCACTGAGATAAATCCCCATCCCCCGGCAGCAAATATTTATAAATAATGGGAAAGATGAGGTGAAGAGAGGGGAAGGAAATGCGAAAAAAGAACAACTAAGGTATATCTTGTACAAGTACAAGTTCCTTATGATGAATGTGACCATTATGTATATTGAAATTGAACCAACAAACTTAATAAAAAGAAAGAGGCCATGTGAAGTTGCTGAGCTAAGTCACCTACATCTGTGTAAGTATGTGCTATGAGGGTCACACAATGGTAAAATTTCCCAACTAAGCATTTCTCAGAACAATCTCCCATCACTAAGGGACATAGGGCTGTGCTTCTGAAGAGCATCTGTTGATGTGTAAGTTTGAAATGCTGGGAACAGGCTTTTCCCAGAATTTAAGATTTCTTGTGTCAATTTTCTAGTTGCTGCTGTTTGACAGAAGTGTCTTTGAGAGTTTATGTCAATGGGGTCTACCAGTCAATATAGCAAAAATATTGCTTCAGGTGATAATATATCCATCCCTTCATCTGTTAGAGTGTAGTGAATGGAAAAGATTCAATATTTATGAATAAAACACATAGCTGATATGCTAACCTTAATGTCCCATTAGAAACAGTTCAAGACCAAAAAGGGTCTTGTGTAATCTGTTTTAAAGGACTCCAGGTATATTTCTCTTAAAAGACTGTAGCTCTTGGGCTGGATTCATTTTTTGCACTCTTCTAGTAAGTTTTTATTCTTTTTGGCTGCATATCTAGATATATCCAGGTAGAAACATCCCCAGTTTTTGTTACCATCCATGTTTTATGTTGCTAAATTAAACCATCATTTTGAGAAGATAGGGCACAAGATAATTACATTTTGTTGGAAATAATGTTAATCCATGATGAGAAAGAACTGTCCTTCACTGGCCATTGGGATCAGAAACTGAACATAGAACACCTGAATTAAAAGTGAGGCAGGAGAGAAGTCCAAATAAGGAAAGAAGAATTTAAAAGATTTTAAAGGAGAAAATCTTAGAAATACAGTGATCCCTCACCTATCGCGGGAATTACATTCCAGAGACGCCCGCGATAGGTGAAAATCTGCGAAGTAGCAGTGTTATATTTATTAATTATATATATTTTAAGGCTTTATAAACCCTTCTCACACTCCTATAAATCCTTCCCAAATTCCTGTGCACCTTCCCGGGGAGACCCTTCATCCCAAAGCCTTGGCTTCCAGCTGGGGCAGTGCCTGTGGACACCCAGGTGAATCGGAGTCTCAGCTCCAAGGGCAGGAGGAAAGGAAAGGGCAGGTGGGGATGGAGGGCCGGAGTGGGCCTGGGAGCCAGGCACACGGGACCTAGCCACAACCAGCGGAGCCCGGCCCAGCCCTGGCCCACGCTCCTCAACTCCCCCACCAGGCCGGCTGCTAGCGTGGGCGTGGGCCAGGGGCGTGCTGTGCTCCCTCCTCGCCTACAAGCAGCACCTGCCCGATGCAGGTCTTCTCATATGGCAAGTGACTCTGCTGGGCTCAGGCTGGTGGTAGTGGTGTTCTGCATTTCCACTGTGTACAGTACAGTGTTCATCCACTGATGAAAGACATACTGTACAGAATTTTATTTTGATTTAATATTCTTTTAATATATTTGAATTAACATTTTTTATTTTGTTTTAAATTTTTAGGCAAAAATAATTAAAATCATAAATATTATATAAATATCTATATACTGCAAAATCCTGCGAAAGAGCAAAAACTCCACCATACAGAATTAGATATACATATTTTTTTTAAACCTGTAGTGCAGTGAAGCTGTGATAAGTGCACCACGATATACCGAGGGATGACTGTACAACCTTGTGTTATCCGATATATTTGTAATCAGAACAGTGATATTAAAAATGCAAAGATAGCATTTTCCTAGAAAATGTACTAATGGAAATTGAGATATGTAAAAACAGTAACATATAGAAAAATAAAGTTCTTTACAATCAGAAACATGATAATTTATTAAAATTAATATGCAAAATAACAAGGGTGTACAGGATGCAAAATATTTATACACACCAGAAATCATCTGAGTATATCAAAGGAGTTTCAAGCATTTTTTTTAATGCATTGATCATAAGTTATGATATTACAATGAAATCACACTTGACTTAAGGCTCCAGCTAGAATAATGTACGCTTATTCCTCACTTTTACAGAAATAGTCGTTCAGACTTGGTTTCTGTTGTCTTATCTGTACCATAGAGTGGCTGTGCATCAGTGAGAATGGCAATCCGAGCCCTCAAGAAAGGAATCGAATTGAACGCTAATAGAGTGCGCGGCGGGTGGAAATAAAACCTGCATGGCCGCTCACTGCGCTGTTGCTCTGGTGTGGTGTGCTCGATCGCAGATGGTCTGAGCTCCCTGTCTTCAGTACTGCATGAAAAATACGAAAGCACTCTTTCATGTTTTTTCTCAAATACATGCAATTCTTTATTACTCAGAGTTCCATGTCTAAGTGTAAACATGTCGGAGGAAAAACATGTTTGGTACTCATAATTTTCTCAGCATGCATGACAGTGTTAACCCAACACCATTTGTCATTTGGATGAAATCTCTAAAGTAGTGGAAAAAAGATTGAGGTCACTGCTTCTACTACGATAGCTTCTTTAATTTTTTTCTTTTTTAATTGTGAAAAGAATCTCTAACACTTCAGAAAAAGCAAAGCATGATATTGTATTTTATACTTTACTCTCCCTATGGTCCCTAAGGTCCATTATAAAAATTTACTCATTAGCCTTAAAAGTGTATTTTCCTAGTTACATATACATAGATTTAACATACATGCACACACGCACACACACACACACACACACACACACACACACGATATTATTCATATTGTTTTGTGATTTGTTTTTTGGTCACTTAATAGATTATATAAATTAGTTAAGTAATTTGTCAATGATTGGGGTATTTCTAATTATTTGCCATTATAAACAAAAATGTCCATTTACTACATTTTTGTATATACAAACAAAAGTGATTATAATTTAACTTGAGTAGATATTGCTACATTCTTTTTTAAAAACCTGGGCACAATTACACTTCTGTTAATAGTGAGCAACTGTCCTTTTCCACACACTCAATTAAAATCTTATTGATTTTTCTGCCCAGTAGAGTTTTATTAATTTACATAAATTTTCTACATCTGTGAAGTCCAATATAGTAGCCACTAGCTATGTACTGTATCACTATTGAGCACTTCACTCATGATGTTTTTTTGGTACCGGAAATCAAACTCAGGACCTCGTGCTTGCCAAGTGCTGCTGAGCTACATCCCCAGCCCTACTGAGCACTTTGAAGTTTGCTAGTGCAATTAAGGACCTGGATTTTAAATTTCCTTTTAGTTAAATTATTTTAAATTTAAATACTTCAAATGGCTAGCATTAACCATATTAAATGCATGGTTACACCCAGAGAGGGATCTGGATGGTAGATGTTCCTTTCGTTTTTTGGAATCTTTAACCAGTAAGTCCATGTTTTAAGCTTCCAGTGGCCTCTCGCAAGGACGGCTTATCCACTTTGTTTATGAGGCACGCTCCTTTTTCATTTTCCTGTGCATTTTATAAATGTTTATAAATTTTTAAAATGTGCATTTTATAAATTTAAAAATTAAGCATTTAAAATAAGATATTGGGGCAACTCTGGAAATGAGGTGGAAATCAGACTCTCTTCACCCTCTAAGATTGGTTGTTATTGTTGTCGTTGGTTGTAATTTGGAACTTTCCTTTCATCTGTGACTTCCTCAGTTTTGCATTGTAGATGTCTTAGCCTCTTTTTAGGGCTGACCAGTATCTCTGTCTCAGGAAGCTATGACGTTAAATTTTTACTGATGATTCTTTTAGACACTTGAGGAGATGGCGCTTCTCAAAGAGAAAACATTCAACCCACTCTCATAATGATGAGCCTAGAGAATGGAGCTTGTGTAGCTTCTGCACCAGTCAAGTTAGCGGCGATGAGGGATGAGGGTGTTGGGCAGTCCCAACTCTCCTTCTGCTGAGTGACTGCCAGGCTACTGTGGGTGTGATTCCGCTGTGTTTAAGGCTACCACGGAGCTGACAAGAGAGGCATGAGAATAAAGAAGATCCCGCAAAACTCACTGTTTTTACCAAGAGTCTGTGATTTCTCTAAAACAAAATATCTTCAGATTGTTGGAAACTTTGATTAGTTTCTGGAGAAGTTAATGTAAAGTCCTTGCTAGCATGCTCACTGCATTTATGGAGGGAGGGTTATTGGAGTGTTTTACTCCTCCATTATGTGTTTCTTCATCTTTCTTTTATTTTAAAAGAATTATAGCAGAGTAGAAAAAATATATCCATTATTTGGTAATAATGTAAAGATGAACAATTGGCAGCATTTATATTGAACAAAGTAAAATTCACATAAGTGGCCAAAATATTTTATTTTAATTAAATATGCAATACTTATGGTCTTGGTGTTACAAACAATATGCCTTTGAAATATATAGATGTAGAGGGAGAAATAGCCAATGCTTTGTGGGTTAGGATTTAATACCAACTTAACAGTCCTGTAAGAAGTAATTGTACATAGCCTAAAATAATAAAGTTACATGATCCTACAATATTCTTAATACAGCTAGCTTTCAGAATCTTCATATCTGACAAAAAAGGATAATTTACATTCCATTTGGAATCCCATGGCACCATTACAAAAATCTCCTTAGCACACAAAGAAAACCTTTAAAAATCTTCCAAAGTATACTTTCAATGCATGACATTTTCTGAACCCAATAAAACTTTTAATAGGGAAAAGTCAGAGAAAAACACAATACATTAAACCTACCTAATTTGAAATAAACACTCTTCTAAATAACTCAGATTAAAGAAGAAATCAAAACTGAAAGAAATTTTAGGCAGCTATGACTATTTTAATTTTTTTTTACTTTTTTATTTTAAAGAGAAAAGAACAAAATCAAAATAACAAAAGCAAGACAAAAACAAAGCAACACAAAAGCTATAAAAATGATACAGAATTTCAAAATACGATGATAGGAAATGAACAATGGTTGTTGTATTACTTATTGTTATCTTCAAAGTAGTTGCTCAGATTACCAGGTATAGGTATGCAAGATTGATCAAACCCTTAAACATTAACTGTTCCTTTTAATAAACCAATACAAAGTAATATAGTACACTTATGTTAGCTATCTTGTGTATACATACATATATTTTTTCCTTTCCTTCTTTCTTTCCTCCTTTCCTTCATCCCAGTTATTCTTTTTTATTGAGCATTTTTAAGAGAGCTATCTTTCAAATAGCAGCTATTATTCTTTTGTAGATACATTAATTTCTTGGCATTCCCTCAGGGTGCAAATTTCAAATAAAAAGTTGTTCTCTCTGTATTTCCTCTTTCTTAAAAGCAGATTTTGACAGCACAAAATATTATAATACCCATAATCACATTTCCCAGAGGCTACCACTGTTACTACTCCTATTTTGTGCTATTCCAGTCGTTATCTCCTCTATTCTGAGTAAAATAATTGCATCTCTATCTTCTATATTGGTAATTTTAGACATTATGTATTGTTTCTTCCTTTTGAAAAACCAGGATTTATTCAGATTCTGTACTGGTTCTTCTTGCTTTTGTCATTTTTACACTTCATACAGTGTTTTTAACTCTGATGCAGTTGCTTTATAAACTTAGGCACCATTTTTAAGCCACTCTTCCTCACTGTATTAAGTTCAGACAAGTGTCTAAACTACCCATTGTATAATAAGATGATGAGATTGACCCTACTATGTTATCTCCTCTCATCTCAAAATTTTATATACTTTCATTTTTATAGCATCAAACAGTAAGATTACATTTAATTCCGCTGTCCTTAGTCAAATATTTGATTAAAAGTTCAAAGCAACCTGTAATTTTATTATTGTAACTTTTTACTCCTTGGTCAAATGTTCTGCCAGCATTTACCTTTTTGTCTCAATAGGCCTGACTCCATGACACCTGGGACGGCTGAAAATATCATACTCTGTGGACCTCTCAAAATAAAGACACATTTTATTTTGCTTAATATTAGTAAAATTCTTTTATTCTGAAGCTTTTAGTTTTTTCTTGCTGCTTCTTATATTTATTTTTTATTGTAGTTAGTGAAATCATAATTGGTTTTTTTTGCATTGCATCCCTAAAATTACCCGGCCTTTAAGAGACCTTTGACCAAAATAATAATAACAATAACAACAACAATAATAATAATATTGACATCGGCCATAGGAAATCACTGTCCTTATGTGCATCTGTCTCCTTAAAGGAAAAAAATGCCATCTCCAGGCTCCGTGAAGAAGGCATGTGAATATGCAGGCTTTACTTCAGAGGATCGCTGGGCAATAACAGGCACACCACTCCTCACCTCAGCAACAAACAAAACAAAACAAAACAAGAATTGATTTATATTTGCTTCTGTCTCCTATCTTGGGAGAACTACTAATCAGAGATTATCTTAAGTGAAGTTTGGCTTGGACTTTTTGGAGCCCCATGCACATTGTGAACTCAACTCCGTGCTTGGAAGAATGACTCTTACTTCCCCTGAAATTTCTCTGATTGTCTCACTTTTTATTTCCTGATTGAAGTTTTGAACTTTCTAGCATTTTATTTGTTTCACTTTTAAAATAGCTATTGTTCTTTGTCTCTGACAAAGGAATAGATCTAATTAATACTGCCTAAGTATCTCTAATCTGAAACTACAAAATACTGAAAAACTTTTCTTTGTATCCTCTCTGTACTCAGAAAGTTTCATACTTTGGGGCATTTTGGATTTCAAATTTTGGGTTAGGGACATGCATCTGGCAAAATCTATGCAAGTATCCCCAAATCCAAAATCCTCTAAATTTGAAATACTTCTAGTCCCAAGCATTTCAGAGGAAAAATACTCATTTTACAGTTGCTAAAATATATTTAAACTTTTTGTGGCCATCTTGCCTTAAAATCAATTGAACTTTCTTTTTTGGTACCTTTGCTCATCATAGTTTCTTAAATCAAAACATTTTCTCTTTCTACTTTATAGTGGGGTTTTTGGTTTTACTTTGTTTTTTGCTAACACATGGTAAAGCCGATTCTGTGGGTGCCATCACTACCTCAACATAGCTGTAGACATACAATCGTGCTGAAGTCTTACAACTCATAAGTGCAAGTTACGCATATACGTACTCCCTGAATGCTAGTCTGTGATTGTACCACTTGTCCCTAGCCTCCTGACTTTCCTATTCTCCTAGATCCGTGTTGTCCCCCAAGATAATCACTATCCCCATGTGTGTGTTTCAATATCAATTAATTAAAATTAAATGAAATAAAAACATTAGCTGTTGTAGCCATATATCAAGTGTTCCACCGGTACATGGTAATAAGACCATATTACTATAGTAGGCAAAGTAATGGTCCCCAAACATGTTCAAATTCAAATCCCTGGAAACTATAAACAAACTGCCTCCAGGGCAAAAGGGATTTTGTATGGGTTATTATGGCTGAGGATCTTGAGATGAGATTTTCCTGGTCTATCTAAGTGAGCTTAATGAAATTTACAAAGTCCTTACAATGGAAAAGGAAGGCAGAGTAATGAGCTGAGCTATTTGAGCTCAGTAAGTCTGGCTGGCTTTGAAGATACAGGAGCCAGGAGATAAAGGATGCAAGTGGTAGCTGGAGGCTGCCCTAGATGAAAGGAAAGAAAGAAAGAAAGAAAGAAAGAAAGAAAGAAAGAAAGAAAGAAAGAAAGAAAGAAAGAAAGAAAGAAAGAAAAAGAAAGAAAGAGACACAGAGGGGCAGAGACAGAGAGAGAGAGAAAGACAGACAGAGAGACAGAGAGAGAGAATGAAGAAAAAAAAAGCCAGATTCCCTCCAGAGCCTCCATGAAGGAATATAACCATGCTGACATCTTCATTTTAGCCCAGTGCAGCCATATTGGACTTATGACCAACTGAGCTGTAAAATAATAAATTTATATTTTAAACTGTCAAGTTTAAAATAATTTGTTGTGGCAGGAATAGAAAACAAATACAGCTACTCCATAAGTTGATGCAAACAGAAGATTTCCATCACTGCAGGGAATTCTGTTGGACAGCACTGAATAATAATTAGACAGGTCAGATGGGCCTGGCTCTCTCCAAGAGATACTTTTTATTTTTCATTTTTCTTGGTGACCCCAGAGGGCTTGCAGTCACCCCAGCTACATCAGGTGACCCATGGCCACTCCAGGAGATATTAGCTCTGATTGCAACAAGCTTCATATGCCAGACCCAGCCTGTGAGATGCCCTTTGCAGCCTTTCTGCATAACTGTTCCTCTAGCGCCGTCCTCAGTCAGGTCTATAAGGAACTTCTCTTAGCCCTGACAAAACAGAAAGTGTGTCACCATCCATGTGCAAGCCTGTCCTTTTTTTTCAATATAAGCAACACCCTTAGTGTGTCAGTGTGCACAGTTCCTCCTTATGCTGCAGCATAAGTTTTAGTAAAACTTCTTTCAGATAACATATTGTTGCCTTTTCATGATTTCTGTATCAACTAGAGAAAGTTGAGCTTGTGTACTCACAGCTGCTAATACCAAATCCCAGGGGCAATAAAGACAGCCAGCAACTGGGGCTGAGAAACCAAAGGCTGCTGGCTGTTCTTATGGGCAGCAATTGGGGCCGATGATGCAAAAGGCCATCAGCAGCCTGAGAAAGAGGCAAAGCCATGGATCATGGCTGGGAGCCTCCTTCTTAGTGCAAGGTGGCTGCTTGCCGCAGGGAGAAAAGGAGACGCTAGCACTAAGTGCTGGGAGTTGCTGGTATTCAGAGCTCAGAGCTGTTAACACTAAAAGAATTGTACTTTATCTACTTGTAATTTCCATCTCAGTTGAAGAAAAGAACTCTCAGTCAATTGTTAACAAAAAGCCTCTTTAATAAAGATAGCCTCTTTAATAAATGGTGCTGGAAAAATTGGCTTGCCACCTGCCAAAGACTGAAAATAGACCCAAGTCTATCACTATGCACCAAACTCAAGTCAAAATGGTTCACAGATCTCAATATTAAAACAGAAACACTAAATCTATTGGAAGACAAAGTAGGTAAAAGCCCTGAAGGCATAGGGGTAGGCAGAGAGTTCATGAACAAAAACCAAACTGCACGTGAAACACTTGAAAGAATCAACTACTGGGATCTCATCCTACTGAAAAGTTTCTGCACATCTAAAGAAATTACCAGCAGAGTAAAAAGAAAACCCACAAACTTGGAAAAAATTTTAGGTGATGTCCCTCAGACAAAGGGCTTCTATCTAGAACATATAAAGAATTAAAAAATATCAGCGCCCCCAAATTCAAAAAAGCAATCCAAAAATGGGCACCTGAGATGAATACACACTTCTCAGATGAAGAAATACAAAAGGCAAATAAAACTAAAAAAATACATAAGAAAATGTTCAACATCATCAGTCATTTGAGAAATGCAAATTAAAACAACACTGAGATTCTACCTTACCCCAGTAAGAATGGCTAGCATTAAGAAATCAATCAATAGCAAATGCTGGCGAGGCTGTGGAGAAACAGGAACCCTTCTCCACTGCTGGTGGGAATGCAGACTGATGAAACCACTGTGGAAATCAGTTTGCGATTCCTCAGTAAACTGGGTCTAGAGGTCCCATTCAATCCAGCTATTCCCCTTCTGGGCCTTTTCCCAGAAGATCTGAAAACATCGTATCACAGGAATATATGTGTACCTATGTTCATAGCAGCACAATTTGTAATTGCTAAATTGTGAAAGCAACCCAAATGTCCATCCACTGAGGATTGGATAAAAAAATTGTGGTACTTTTATATAATGGAATATTACTCAGCTGTAAAGAAAGATAAACTCGAGGTTTTTATAGGTAAATGGTCACAACTACAGACCATGCTCATAAGTGAAATAAATCAGACCTCCATGTGCAAGCACCGCATTGTCTCACTAGTGTAAAACCTAAAAGAGTGAATAAAAACTAGTAGGTATGATGGGCATTGTGAAGCGAGAGGAAAACACTCAAGGGTAAAGGGCAACTGGGATGTGGGGAAAGAAAAGGGAAAGAAGGAGAAATTTTGTATGTATGTATATACAGGACAGTTAACATAGTTGTTCTACTGTCTTCTGTTTCTTTGCTGTGAGAAACAGTTAATGATTCCTTGATTGATCAATATTGCACATCTCTACTTCTTTTCCTGAAAAACCATTCTGAAGATATCAATATGTAATAGAACAAGCAGTGTTAATTTCCTACCACTTTGTTTGTAACTCTGTATTGCTTGTATTGTTCTTTTGCTATTTTGTAAATGGTTGTCTATTTGTTAATTTTTCCTTCTTTTATACTTAAAATAAAAAAATTGTTGATTTCTATATTCATGTCTCTAGTCTAGAATTCTTTTAAATTGACAGTTCCAGTTACATGGGTAATAGATATCCTAAGCACAAATTGTCCAAAACTTAAGTCTTGATCTCCCTACTGTATTCATGTTTCAGATATAACTTTCTCTTCTTAGGTAATAACTATGTTAACTATTTAGTTGATTTGACCATTTTAATTTCTCAAGGGAAACACTAAAGTCATCTCTGACTCTATATTTCTCTCATAACACTCACACAACCTCTCAAAAACTTGTTGAGTATAGAGAGTTACAATTTAGAGAAAACAAAGTGGAAGAGATACAGTGGGTGAAAAAGAGGGGCAGGTGCATGATCTGCTATCCCTCCCCAGACTTGCCACACCCCTTGAGGTGTTCACAAACCCAGAACTTCTAAAAACCCTACAATTTATGGATGTTAATAGAACTTTTCATTCAGTAGGAAATGCTTATTTAGCTATTGGACATTAGGGATGGACCTCCATCTTTAGCCCTTCTATCCCCTAAGGGCAGATAGCAAGAGTAAGAGTTCTAACTTTCTAATCATGCCATGGACTTTGCAGTGATTGGATCCTACCTTAACAGTCTAGTGGCCACCAGATACCTGTCATCTCGTTACTACTAAAACCCAAAGCCATTAGCAGCTGTATGCTGAAAACCAGAGGCCAAGCTCAAGCACTTATTATTTCACACTCTACTTATAACATACCCCGAGCATAAGTACTTCTCATCGCAGCGTGTTCCAAGCCATCTTCAGTCTGGAGACTGCCACCATAGTCCACTCTACTGGCCAAAATCCAGTGGGGTTACAGAGCCTAACTGCTTTGAAGGCTTAATAGGATTAATAGAAACAAATTCATTTTTAAATCAATTGCTTTATTAAAATCCAGAAAAACTAACAGAACAATGAGGACAACACAGACATTAGCTATTACGTGCAGCTTCTGCCCCTAGAGGTAGTATTACTGTAATTCAAGAGACAAGATTACCCAACATAAGTGTCAGAAACAGTGGCCTATCTAGCAATGGTTGGCTATCGAGCATATAAAGGACACTAGGCACACAGCCCAAAACAGACAGGAAGGAACCAATACCCTGTCTTCTCTCTGCTGCCTTTTTCCCTTCCCCTGTTAACTGCTTTGATTACTCCCTCACATACTTCAAGACATGTGCAAATGTCATGTTTTGGGCTGCAGAAAGATCCTTGAACGTTAGAACAGTATACCTGGAACAGTTAACAAACACTGCATTGTAAAAATAACTGACCTGGAAGATCTATTTAGTATCCATTGTTTTTCTGATGCTGACGATGTCCTTATCATGCTAAATTATTCTAACTTTCATTCTCTTACTGTCTTCTTCTATGATTTGATACCTATGAGAAACAATACCAGAATGATAATTGCAGGAGGAATTAGACAGGCAGAAACATGAAAATGCAGATGGTACCCTAGCACATTTATTTTGTTAACATTGTTCAGTATAGTTCATTTCATGGTTCAGTTCAGCACAGCGTCCTGTAGGAATAAAATAATAATGAGGTGAATGTAGAGTAATAGAAGGAATGCAGTAGATGAAACAACAGTTTATTTATTATACCAAAACAAGTGCTCTCTGAAGGAGCTATAAATCTGACAGATTTCAGTATGAGGAAGCTAATTTAGTAGAACAGTACTGATTTATGTCTCCTGCCTTTTTTTTTATTTCATGCAATTTTTATTAAGTGCTGACTGAAGCATAGAGATATATCCTGCTACATTTTGGAAATATTTCGTATTTAACTTCAGTAAAACAGTATCAACGAAAAAAGTACATGATTTAAAATTAAAACCTACTGACAAAGCACTTCTCATCCTTACACCTGTCTCATACCACACAAGTAATTTTTACCCAAACGGGCTACAAGCGCCATTACTGTTCTCAACCAAGACCGGTTTTGTTTTGTTTTGATATTTCAGTGTTCATACGCAGTTGCTTTATCTGCCAGTGCCAAGCACTGCATGTTACAAAAGCAGCCACCATCCTCAGTCTTTTCTTTATCCTATCCTTTTCAGTTGATTTCCATCTCAAGAAATGGAGACCACTTCTTTGCCTCTGCATCTGAGCTGGCCTGGTAAACAAAATATGGTAGAAGAGACTGAATCTAGATTTCTAGAATCTTCCATGTAGCACTGTCCATCAGAACTCTGCCACTGCTACATACACAAATGGGTGTAGCCTGCTGGATGTGGCACATCCCACGGAGGAGAGAGGCAATCCTGGGCTACTCAGGCCCTGGTGACACAGTGGCAGACTCCACACATGTGTGAGTCCTGAAAACGTCCAGCCAAGCTTAGTCCAAGGTGCCAATACAGAGATATGTGAGCAGGAGAAGTAGTCGTCCTAAGCCACTCTCTTTTGAGATTCGTTGTAACATAGCAGTTGCTCGGTAGCATCCTTGCTGCCACATGAAAAAGAAGTGAGTTGCTGATTTGATGATGAGTAAGTCTGAGGGGTTTTTGTTTGTTTATTTTAACAGTGCTAAGTATTGAACTCAAAGCCTTCACGTTATACTGCCAGCCCTTTTATATATTTTTTAATTTAAATTTAAATTTTGAAGCTGCTGCCCGATAAACTGTGCCCATGGGGCAGCCCTGCCCAAAAAAAAAAAAATTATTTTTAAATTTTGAGACGGTGTTACTAAATTGCTCATGCTATGCTCAAACTTGTGATCCTCTTGCCTCGGTCTCGCAGAGTGCTGGGATTACACATGTATGCTACTATGTCTGGTTTCACCTTGCCTTTTAACTGGAATAAGGAGGGGTCACTTCGAAGTAACAGATTAAAGAGCTGTCTTATTTGTTCCTCCTCACTGGGCCTTAGTTCTAGATAGAGATGTCAGGCACTATGGTACCAAATGTCAGAACAGTGAGTCCTTCCCCTAAGGATATGAGAGTAGAACAAGCATTAGTAGAAAAACCCCACATTTAATTATTGTCAGACAAATGAATTGCTTTGACTGCTAATGTTTATTTAACTAAATGACCTTTTTTTTAAAAAAAAAAAAAAAAGGAGGCTATAATTCGTACACAGAAAATTGACTCACACACTCTGGAGGAGAGCAAAATCACATATCAAACACCTGAGGCAGGATTCAGTTATCTCGGTAGTACGGAGAAGTGGGGAACACAGTCCTTAGGCTGAAATATAATCGTTTCTGTGGCTCCAACTCTGGGGAGGGTAGGAGACATCTAGAAGATATATTCAGAAAACAGACTGCACTAACTTGGTGACACTGGTCAGGCAGTAGGAAGTTGAAAAAATATTTTAAGATTAGAAGACCAACTCATTTCTATATTCTGCTATTACTCAGGTCTTACAAAGTCATTCTGCCAAAGAGCCATTGCTACAGGCAGAACAGGAAAAAAGAAACATGGAAAATTAATTTGAAAAGTACAAATGTACTAGAGTTTTGAGAATTATGAAAATATGGTTTCCATAGACTAAGATGCATTAATCTGGTATCATATAAGTGATTTGGATAAATGATCTCTTTTTACTAAATATTATTTAAAATACATATAATTTATATCAAAGAAGTACATTTAAAATAACATATCATACATACCTTGTCCTAAGAATCATTCAGTACAAGAAAATCTATCAAAGTAACACACAATATTAAAGACCTAACAAGAAATATGTCTACTCAATTTTAAAGTCTTTGCTAGGGTTTAAAGTATTTATAATAAAATCTCAGTAAATATTTAAGCTTTTAAATACTCAGGGACAAAAATTAGCAGCAAAAGCTGGGAGTGGGGCTCTCTGTGTGTAATCCCAGCCTTGGGGAAGTGAAGGCGAGAGGGTCAATGAGCCCAAAAGTTTGAAACCAGCCTGGGCAACAAAATAAGACCCTGGTGTGTATGTGTGTGTGTAGGGAGAGAGAGACAGACAGACACAGAGAGTGACAGAGAAAGAGACAGAAAGAGTGGAAAAAAAAGAGAGGGAAGGAAGGAAGGAAGGAAGGAAGGAAGGAAGGAAGAAGGAAGAAGGGCACATAGGAGAAATTTTGGTAGCACTTTTAGGTCAGCAGTGATCCAAGAGGGCCACCACGACAACCACTGAGTGGCAAAGTGCTAGAGACCCTGTTAAACTGTGTGGAAAGAAAAATAAATGAGTTATAAAATTTGGAAGGGAAAACACAACTCCCAACCTGCTAGATGTCAAATACAGCCAGTTCATGTCCCTGAAATTAAAGAATGAATTCCAAAGGGCAAAAGAGATTATTAATAGGAATGGTCATTGGGAGTAGGAGGAGCTCCTAGAGACAGGAGGGTCCCAGCAGTGGGTGGTCATTAAGGTAGCTTCACTAACAATGTTTTATAGAGCAAAATTATAAGATGGGTACAAAATCATAAGGACAATGTGGGTCTAACTATAATCAACCAGTAAGATTACAAGCATAGCTTGCTTAGCTAATATTGAGCCAGTGGGGGAACAGGTCATACAGCAAAGATTCGTGGAAAGAAGAAAAGCATTTTTAGGAAAGAATGGGTGAGAATGCTGTGGTCACCCACCTAATCACAGCATCAATCCAAGTTACTGCTCATCTCTTAGGGCAGGCACATAGCCCTGGTCTTTGCGTCTTCATCGGGTGCCCTGACCTTCTTCAGATACGCCTCCAGCCACAGTTCTGATGGGTTTATTTTTTCTGCTGACTTCTTTAGGAGCCCAGTCCTTCTCTGAATGAATATTAATTTCTATCTAACCTAGCTACCTATAATAAAAGGACAAAATTTCCATTATTTTAAACTGAGATATACACAGGAAATAGTAGCAACTGGGAAACAATTGATAAATTATTTGAAACTGAAAACTGATGGAAGTAGATTTAGCATATTCTAGATTAACCTGCCTTAGGAAACTGTCACAGATGTAACAACAGACTTCCCAATTAAGGAAAGAGAAATTATACAGCAATCTGTGATTGTCTTCGAACAAGTCATTTACATGTCTCAAAGATAAAAGGATAAAAAAGATCCATGCATCAAGCATTAACAGTTACTACACAAAAATAGTAAGAGATGAAATTTAAAAACCATAAAAATCAAAAAACACCACCAAGAATGGAACTGTAAGCTGAAATAAACAATAGATGACAAAACTAAATATCCAAATATAGAACTGATGAATCAGGTGGCCGCACAAGAAAATCACACAGAAATGCAGGAAAGATGACCAGCAGGGTTCCCAGCAGGGCCCTTTTTTAAAAAGTCATATTTATATATGTTATTACAGAAAGGCAAAAATCAAAGTTAAAGGGAGTGTGTAAAAGCATCCAAAGAAAAAAAAAATTACTACAAATGGATGACACCTGACAAGACTTTTTGTCAGCAACACAATGTGCCAGAAGGTATATTTTCAAATTTCAGAGAACAATGATTCTCTACCCAAGTCAAATTTCAAGTGTGAGGGTAAACACAAGTATTTTGGATACTCAGAGTTGTCTATCACACACTTATAAAAAAAGTGACTATAGAATATACCTAAGCAAGAAAGACTTAGAGTATCAGGGAAGAATTGTGCTCCAAAAAAGCAGCAAGGCACTGCGATGGTGAATTTAAATAAGCACGGACTAGTTTTGAAATTCTCCATTTTCTGTTTAAAAATAATTTGCAACAAATTGTAAAAACTTTGTAAAAAATAATGTAGATGCAATGTGTACATGCACTAATTACTGCAATTGCTACATATCACAAACATATACTAAAGTTAAAGAAACAAAAAATCAATTTGCAACAAATATTTTACATGGATTATAGAAAATAGTGGTATTTAGTTCAGAATGTAGTATCTATTTGCTTTGAAGGAACAGAAATGAATTAGATTTTGAGTAAGTATTTATTCATATAGAAAATAAATTGTATTGAACATGTATGTTTGTAAAAACATCTTAATTATTTACACTTGCCACCACAAACGCAGCTCACTGATCTTTTGACTAGTTCAGGAGGTGTACCCCTGTTCCCTCTTCCCAACAGTATTCTGGTCCCTATAGCATAAGAATTCTTCATGCTCTAAGTTTGCTATGAGCTATCCGTTCTAACTGTTCCTTATTCTGGTCAACATTTGCTCTCTAAAAATGGCTCCAGCTTAATGGGAAGATGCAAATCTTTGTATTTACATGCCCTGGCTTTTAAAACTACACTTGAAGTTGAATAAACTATCATAAACATTAAAGATGGTTCATTTACTCTGTTTGAAAGTCTTTTATTAAAACCTATTCTTGGTTTTGCAACATTCGGCACATCACATTTGCTTTTTTAAAAGCATGGTTGAAAATAATATAAAATTTGAAGAAAAGTTATTGCAAATTCAAGTGTCAAGGAACAGGAG